GTTTAAATTTCGGCTATAAGCAAATAATGAGTAAATAATACAGAATAGATATTTCTAAATGTTCAAAAGGAGATTGGTTCAAAAGAATAAGAATGTCGTTTAGACAACATCACATAAAGTATTTCTCCAAGCATTAGTACGACAGCATTGATGATAATTCTGCGCGCGTTACCCCACCCACTTGTGGTATAGTGACAAAAGTGCGTCGCGACTTGATTACTGGCAGACAACTGGGCAAAGAAGTTTAAAATGATATATTTTAAAAGTGTTGAATAAAAAAACAAAATTAATATCCAAGAAATGTTCAGAATTTCATTATTTTCTTTGTAAATTTCTGAATACTTGCTTACTGTTCGGGTATGTTAGTCGAGTGAAAAAAATAATATGGCCCTAGATATGTTTTAAAAAAATATTCAGTATCATTTACTTAATATAACATCAAAAGAAAAAGAAATTCTTATTACAACATGTTTTATATTTGACAATACATTTAGTATAACACTGATATTTCTTAAGAAAGCGTGGTAATTTTGACAGTTGGCATATGCGGTAACCATGGAAACTGCCCGTTTACAAAAAACTAACACTTCAACATATATATTTTATTTCTATTTTTGAATCTACAATCAAATGTTACTTGATATATCAATAATGTAGAAAATTCTATAAAAAAAATTCTTGATAGCTTTAATTTTTTACAGAAAATTTTCATGTTTATTTTTCTCATTTTTTGTTTAGTTAAAAAGCATGAAAACTCATTTTTTAAAGAAATATATCCAAATTATCGTTTGTTTTTATACAGAACCCTAAGATAAAGCAAGGCTGTATAAAATTATGTTTATTGTGAGTGTAATAAGCTATTTTATACATTATTATAATACAGTTTGGATATTTTTACAATTTTGAGATATACGGTTACCATGGAAACTGCCATTTTTCAAAAAATCCAACACGCCAACATATATTTTTCTTTTTCTTTTTGAATTTGTCATTAAATTTTACACAATATACAAAAAAATTAGAAAATTCTATGAAACACTTTTTCAATATCTCTAATTATTCTGAGAATTCATGTTCATTTTTCTCATTTTTTACTCGGTTGAGGAACATGGAAAACTCATTTTTTAAAGAAATATGTTCAGATTATCATTTGTTTCATACAGAATCATTAGATAAGGTTATCTTTGCATAAAACTATGCTCGTTGTGTGTTTTAAGCTATCTTATACATTTTCTATTCGTTATAACACAGTTAGGCTATTTTGACAGTTTTTAGATATACGGTTACCATGGAAACTGCCATTTTACAAGAAATCCAACACGTCAACATATATTTTTCTTTTTATTTTTTAATTCGTCATTAAATTTTACTCATCATACAAAAAATTTAGAAAATTCTATGAAAGGATTATTTTTTCATAAAACTGTAGAAAATGTCTTTAATCAGATTTTGTCGCAAACTAATTGCCTGAAACGGTGTTGATCCGCCATGGTTGTTTGCTCTGAAACAACTGAAACACATTAGAATTTTAGAAATACTATCAGATTACTGATTTAAATATGGCTTCCATGTTATGTTTAACGGTGTTGGAGCTATTATAACCGGCTTTCATAATATTTGATCTCATAAGAAATTTATACTTCAACTGAATCCTTTTAGGAACATATGTAATGCGTTTATTTCTCAACACACAAGGTACATTGTATACCGCTGCAAATAATAGGGTAATATATTGCTCCAGGATTACCATATTTCGTTTTCTTAATACTTTTTTATGTAACCATTTCTTTGTGTTTTTTCATCTTTGCCACACACAGATGTAGAGATATCAGACAGCTATATACTTCTTGTATGATATGTAATTTACAGACCTATGTTTTTGCAATTTGCCGAAACTTAGAAACAATGTCAATGTCCCACAATGTGCCTTCCCCTTGTGAACCTGCTCGTGACGACATGAAGCTGATCGTCTTCTATACGATTTGCCATAATGCCGGTAAATAAACACATAAGAAATTTCCAATTCCTGTAAAGATATTGAATTACTTAATATGGTGTGATGAAGTATTTAACGATAATATAAGCACAATTTTAAAATCTAATATATACATTACATGTATATATTCCATAGATATACGTAAACATGCTTTTCATTTAAAGGAACCACTTTTTCTGCGTCTGGAATACAAAAAAAACAACAAAAAACAAAGAAAAACCTGACTTTATTTCCAAGATATATGTAATTGAAACATATATTTTGCTGGTGAAATAAATTCTATATAATGTACATGTTTGTATTTTATTTTTGTATTTTAAATACTTTTACGCTGATGTACAAGTGTGTTATCAAAGCAAAATACTATTAAGATGAGAATTTAAAGCAAGCAAACTAAATTCATTTAATTTAATACTTCCTCCTACTTTTCACTTTCAAATATCATATTTGTATGATTTCAAAGACAGGAAGCGAGAAAACAAGCATAATTCAATGAAAAATTTGACGAAATAGGATAGGCAATAAAATCGTTCGGCCATTGTACTCATTAAATTTGGTTCGGCCATTGTACTCGTTTATAAAAAGATGCACAACTTCGTTATGCAACTTTATAAAGGATGGAAATTGTTTTGGACGGACAAACTTCCGATTGTGCAGAAGATGTCATTGCTAATTTTGCTCAATATGTGTTTCTTTTACCCAAAACAACGTATTTTAGTATCTGTTCGGCCATTGTACTCATCACCCAAAACATTTTTTCGATATTCAGGCCTAAGCAGAGAGAGCTACAAAGTAACCAATAACAGAACAGTACGTGGTTTTTGTATTTTCTGATCGCAAAATCAGTAAATACATGGTAACATCCACGGTCTAACACAAAATTTCCTCACAGACCTAACAACGCAAAGTTGTTCTCACTCAAAACTGCTTAAAAACCAGCAATTTAAAAGAAAGAATAGTTTTTAATGTAGGCATTAAACGAATTACAGTGCATTAAAAGTTTAGATTAGTCAGTAGAAATATGAGGTTACAATCACAAATTTCGCGGATGAATATCTTTTATACCAAATGAAAAATGTTCGACTATTTCCGTAAAGCTTAATCAATGAAAATGCTATTTTTAGCTATGTCGATTACCGAATACTCCAGAGCGTAGTACACAAATAAATCTGACTGTCGAGTAGTGGAATATATACATGTCGGACTGTTTTGGCGAGAAGATTTTCGCTAAATTATTTTCATCAGTATTCTCAATTTTAGAATTATAATGTATTTGTTTTTATTTTACTTCACCGCGCGCTCGTTTAGGGTGTGAGAGGCCTAAGGTTCAAATCCTAGTCGAGGGCAACATTTCTTTTTGAAGTGTCATTTTTAAGGAAGTAGCCACGATATGCAAGGATAAAGTGTGGCTGTCATAAAAAAAAATGAAAAATGTTTTTTTGATGTAACTCTAAGCATGCAAAATTCCATATGTATCAATCTCAAACTGTTATAGAAAAAAATCTAAACACAGTCGCTACGTAAGATGAATTATAGTATATAAAAATAAACTTATACAGGAAAGATCAGAAAATACCACAGAGCATGCAGCCCTTTGATTATACAGGGATTCCGTGAGGCCTAGTTTTACATATAAATTGAACGTTAACTGTATGCTTACCTCAATTTCACTGCTTTAACCGAGCGGGTAGGCCGCCATTTTATGAGCCCATTGTACGATTTTGGTCACGTGATCATCCGCAGTGACACTTTGCAATGTATATTGAGTGATGTTATGCAATACAACGGATCGGTCAACGTTTGAAGTCTCACTCACGAGAGGTAAATTTGAGTAAACAAAACGAATACCACTTTTCACATTGTGAGTTACTTATCGTAAGTCTACTCCAGCGTTACTTGAGGTGACCTTTCGTAAGTTTAAGTCAAGATTGAGATTAAGTATCGTTTCTGAATACGGGCCAATTGTCTCGTTATATGGAACATAGTTGGACTAAGAGTGTCCAGCAGTGCTTAGGCTGCTGACCGTTTCAAGGTGGCGCCTCTCTGTGTTCCTCAGATTATGTCTTTTTTGTTGTTTTATATTATTATGGTGACACTTTTTTGTCCCTTCTTGTTGTTTCCAATTTACGGTAAGTATTTATTTTTTCTTTAATAACGAGATAAGTCTTTTCTATAATATGGTTACACCACTTCACAATCAATCGGTCAGGGAACTCAGTTGGCCATTTTCGCGTGAACTACACAATAGGGGGAAATTGGTTATTTGAACAATAAAATGCATTTCTTTTAAAACAGAAGATAATTTTGTAGCAATAAAGTAACAAATATATGACAAGATGGATGAATTTTACCAAATGGTATCGCCCAGTTTAAATGGGGCTCAGTCAGTGATTCGCGTGAATCCCTAACTACCTAACAGAAAGTGGTTGGTAATTCGAATATTGCATGGTTTGCGTTAAAAAGTGATTTTTCGGAATAAATATTACGGATAAATAGCAAGATAGCTGTGTCCTTCACCATTGGAATACCCTGCCTTCCTCTGTCCAATCTCGCGAATACTCAACTACCTACAAGAAGGGAGTTTGTTTTGCGTATATTGCATTTATTCCCCTGAACACAAAATGTATTTTTCATGTATTTTTCTGAAGCAATTGTTACGGTTAAATATAACGAGATACAATGTATGTTTTTTCCTATGGTGACATGAATTCCTCGAAAAATATAAAATGATTTTTCAAATAACCACCCCAAGATATATGACAAGATAGTTGGCTTTTATTAAATGTTAACACACCATCTCACTACGAAATCATGTAAAAATTGGAATTACCAACTACCTGCTGATAGGTTGTTGGGGATTCACGCGAATACAACAAGGGTCTCTCCATTATTTTTTGTTTGAAAATGTATAATGTTTTCGAACATTTCATGCTGGTGATTATAGATTGAATTGAATAACTATCAACCAAATTGCCGTTCAAATCCAATAGATTATCATATCTTTAAAAGTACAGTTTCTTCGCTGCAGGCATATCTAAATGCAAATATGTATTTTGTTGAAATAGCTTACTTTCATATTGTTAAAACGTATGCATGATCCCTCCTAATAATGTGATTTCAATATATTTCAGGTCAATTTATCAGTGATGACGGACTCAGTGGATATCAACGACTTCATTCCTAGTTCAGAATGGGAACTAATAGAATCAAAAATTCAACTTAACCGATTATTGTATGCATGTTGCAAGACACCATTTCTTGACGTGACAGCACGATTGGTCTTACGACGAGCACCTACATATTATTTGTTTACCATGATTATTCCTTGCTTATGGTTGACCATTTTAAATTTGCTTGTGTTCTTGCTGCCAGCTGACAGTGGAGACAAGATTTCATTAGGAGTTACGGCGTTTCTTTCATTTTCTGTGTTCATGCTTGTTATTTCTGAAAAAGTTCCAGTCGCAAGTACAATTCCGTTGTTAGGTATGTATTAGATTTTTATTAGATTTTCCTGACGTTTGGCCGAGATTTCTAATTTTTGACGTATCAAGACTAAATGATTCCATACACCCTGTACTATTTCCAGACATTTTTGCATTGTAACACTGCCAGGCGAATCAAATGATACTTTTTTTCAAAGATATTTCTGCGGGCGGGTTGGGAAAGGTTTATAGTGATCTTTGATCGTTGCTCTTTTATTGATCTATTACACCCATATTCTAGCTTTAATGACAGATGATGGCAGCTTGGAATACAAAAAGCTGGCACTAGGGAAGATCCCTCCGGAAAGAAAGAAGTGTGATTAACTCTGCTTTGAGATATTGAAAGGTGTAACATCACGCCGTTTGCACGCGCCTTTCATGGTCCATCTTGATTTAGCGGTCTTTAATTAATAATACCAAAAGGAACAGTTATTATAGCAACAAGGATGAAAATCCCGGACCGAAAATAATAACGGCACGTAAAATGCTTTTCATATGACATATCATGAGCGTAAAACTTAAAGCAAAGGTTTATGCTTTTCAAGCAAGCATATTTATATATTTATCTTGAGCTGCATTCCACGACGATTGTTAACCGGGAAGAAGCATATTTGTAAACTGTTGCGGTATTTAAGCGTCGAATTACCAAGGCTCGTGTTAGTATGTCAATTTATTTGCACGGCGAGTCATGAGTTTCCTTAACGACACAAAGTGCCAAAGTTATTACTATTTATGATATCATTTTTTTAAATTTCGCAATATACTATTGAACATTGCTTTAAAGTTAATTTCGTTCCCTGTCAACCGACAAATTGTTTCCTTCTACAATCAAACAAATTGTTTCCTTCTATTAACTGACAAACAAATTGATTCCTTCTATTAACTGACAAACAAATTGATTCCTTCTATTAACTGACAAACAAATTGTTTCCTTCTATTAACCGAGAAATGAATTGTTTCCTTATATTTACAGCATTCTACTTGACAGTCTGCATGGGAATGACGTCAATGTCCATCATCATGTCTGTATTTATATTAAACTTACATCACGCTGGACCTCTTCGAAAAGGCGTCCCAAGATGGTTGCGAATTCTGACCTATAATGTTCTTTCCCTTGTTCTTTGTCTTAAACCAAAAACAGGAACTTTTCTGTGCCAATGTGCAAAAAAAGCATACGAACAAAATGGGGACAATAGTGCAGACGACACAGAATCCAATTATGATATATCTATAGTAGCAGAGAAACAAAATGATGCAGACGAATGCAAGCAAAAAAATGCAGAGGAGTGGAAATTTGTTGCGGCAGTCCTAGACAGATTCTTTTTCTGGCTTTTTCTAAGCGGTAATGTTCTGTATTGGACAGAATTTTCAGAAATACAAAATATGTGGAAATAGGATACTGGGATACTGAGCAAGTGTTGTTTTAACATTTATTCATTGTGTTGAAATATTTAAATTTCGTATATACTCGTATTGTGGCAAGTATTGTTCTAGTACTTTTAGTGATTGTTTATTTATTTATTTGTTAATTTCATTTTTTTTCTTTCTGAGTAATTACTTCTGATTTATTGTTTATTTATTTATTTATGTTCTGCTATGCGTGTTCATGGGTTTTTGTTAAAGTGAATTACTTTTACGTAATACTTTTATGATATATTAACTGATAGGACATACTTATATTCATCAAATAGAACAAAATACTGTTTCTTTTATGTAAATATTCATTGAAAAATGATTTTGTATTGTTTGATTTTTTTTATTGTTTTTTCTTTTTTTTCAATATTTGAAATACTGATCCTTTACAGGAACTCTTCTTATTATATTGTACTGATAACTGTCTAGCATTTAAACTAATGTTACATTAAATGGTGATCATTGCATTAATATATATCAGACCAATTTGATGATGCGGAGGAAAGTTTTACACATGTCTTTATTTATAGCCTAAAAGGTTGATATAGTAAAAGCATTTATGTCTTAAATAAGTATAATTATAACGTTGAAAGCTCCATGTTACTTTTCATTCAAAATTAATTGATTATACCATAAAGCAGTGAAGTTTAATTTATTTTATGTTAACATGTTTATCTCGGGTTCAAAATAAGTGGCGTCCCAATCATTCATAGTCAGTGGCGGCTTATCCATTCACGCGGTTGGTCGTCATACTTTGACAATGTATACAATGAAGTGCATGTACCATTGTCTAAGATCATTATAATCTACAGGTAAAACTAAAAATGTTGTTTCTGTAAGTAGGATAGACGAGTAAAATCCTTATGCAATTAATTAATTACTTAGTAACTCAACTTAACAACGCAGTCGTCAATAAATCAAAATGTAGAAAATGTTGCTGGTTCTTGTTCCTTTTTCTGTCTCGATATCAATATAATCCGTTTTAACTCAATACAGCGCAGTCTAGGATCTAACGTGTTTTCTAGATCCCGGTGAAAGGTCCTGGTCAGTGCTACTAACTAAAATGCCGAAAACTATTATTATATGAAGCTAAATAGTTCGGTAAAATGTGTTTATACCGAAAAGCAAACTATAAAGAAGGCCTTTATGCGCGTTATATCGGCAAAACACAAACTTATATTCAAGAACGGTAGTCAGGTCGGTTTTCTTAAAGCAAAAACTATCATATGAGAGCTAGAATATGATGTCCTTTCAGCCGTATGCGCTGATTCATTTCTTTTAATTTGATGAACATGTACTTTAATTTTTATATATCGGTCCTATTCCTATTCAAACTGATAATTCCCCACCCATATTTGCACAATTCAGAGTTATTTTTTGCATAATTCCTGCATTATTTCAACATTTCAGTGTCATTGGATATATTCTGAAGCGTCCTGGTACCAATTCATAATGTTCTATAAAAAAAATAAACTCCTACGTAGGAGATAAAAGAGCCTTATTAGGAGTTTATAACTCCTACGTAGGACTTTTAAACTCCTACGTAGGACTTTATAACCCACGTAGAATACATATCAAAGTACTGAAAGCACAGAGTTGGACGGACACGTATGCTAGTATATAACTTAAGATAGCATATTATGTAGGAAAATAAATTATATGTGTCAAGTTGTAATTGTGGCAAGCCGCTTTCGTAAATACCCTTAGTCTGTAGCCAGAGATGATTTTGTCATTCTCTGCATTTATTAAACGATGATTTTGTATTATGTACGTTTAGTTATTCTACACATGTACACAAAATGTATGGGTTAAACTTTGTTAAAAATAGGATATAATTCATTATTAAACTGTGCATGCATAATGCTCCGCAAACCGTTTTCTGCTTAAACTTTACGGAGCCGGAACAAGACACTTCACTACTCCCTTGCCTCCTATAAGGATTTAATCATCGGCCGAAAATGGATTAAATTGCTCGTTTTGTTCAGCTAGTTCGTATGGCAAAAGTAATCGTTAAACGTAGGAGTTATAAAAACCTACGTATGACTTTATAAGTTCTACGTAGGAGTTACAAACTTCCTACTTAGCTTTTTTATCTTCCTACGTAGGAGTTTATTTTTTATAGGAACATTATGAATTGGCAACCAGGTGGTTTTTTTTTTTTCCGTAGATATACGTATACGTACGGGGATTATTATGTAATGCTAAATCTTAAATGCACGAGTTTTACATATTTTCTTTTGTATAGAGAACAATAGTTTCTTTTGAATAGAGAACAATAGAACAATAACAGGTCGGTATCTATTTGCAGACCTGTTAAGCGGTCGGTAAGTGATTTACTAGACCGCTTTTAACAATGGAGCCGGTAGGTAACACAAGTTATTCCATGCTAACCCACTCTAACTTTCACCATCTGCCCAAAGCTTTTCGAACTAGGGCAATGCTGATTGATCACATTTCTTCCCATTCCGGCAAATAGAAACACAAATGTACATATGGAAGAGCCTATGTATATAGTCAGGGTTTGAGTAATCACTGATCAAAGTGTGTAATATCAAAGCAAACTCAGTAAAACTTTGTTTGTTGTAGTCATTGTCACAAAAGTGCCTCTTATTAGGTCATCAGACTTTGTTTTGGCCATATCATGATATTTTGTCACGTGCAGAAACGTCAATAAAGTTTATTGAGTGAATAACTTGTGTTGCTTAATCAGATTTTGTCGCAAACTAATTGCCTGAAACGGTGTTGATCCGCCATGGTTGTTTGCTCTGAAACAACTGAAACACATTAGAATTTTAGAAATACTATCAGATTACTGATTTAAATATGGCTTCCATGTTATGTTTAACGGTGTTGGAGCTATTATAACCGGCTTTCATAATATTTGATCTCATAAGAAATTTACTTCAACTGAATCCTTTTAGGAACATATGTAATGCGTTTATTTCTCAACACACAAGGTACATTGGATATACCGCTGCGCAAATAATAGGGTAATATATTGCTCCAGTGATTACCATATTTCGTTTTCTTAATACTTTTTTTTATGTAAACCATTTCTTTGTGTTTTTTCATCTTTGCCACACACAGATGTAGAGATATCAGACAGCTATATACTTCTTGTATGATATGTAATTTACAGACCTATGTTTTTTGCAATTTGCCGAAACTTAGAAAACAATGTCAATGTCCCACAATGTGCCTTCCCCTTGTGAACCTGCTCGTGACGACATGAAGCTGATCGTCTTCTATACGATTTGCCATAATGCCGGTAAATTAAACACGTAAGAAATTTCCAATTCCTGTAAAGATATTGAATTACTTAATATGGTGTGATGAAGTATTTAACGATAATATAAGCACAATAATTAAAATCTAATATATACATTACATGTATATATTCCATAGATATACGTAAACATGCTTTTCATTTAAAGGAACCACTTTTTTCTGCGTTCTGAAATACAAAAAAAAAACAACAACAAAAAACAAAAAAAAACCTGACTTTATTTCCAAGATATATGTAATTGAAACATATATTTTGCTGGTGAAATAAATTCTATATAATGTACATGCTTGTATTTTATTTTTGTATTTTAAATACTTTTACGCTGATGTACAAGTGTTGTTTCATCAAAGCAAAATACTATTAAGATGAAGAATTTAAAGCAAGCAAACTAAATTCATTTAATTTGAATACTTCCTCCTACTTTTTCACTTTCAAATATCATATTTGTATGATTTCAAAGACAGGAAGCGAGAAAACCAAGCATAATTCAATGAAAAAATTGACGAAAATAGGATAGGCAATAAAATCGTTCGCCCATTGTACTCATTAATTTTCCTTTTTCTTTT